CACGTGCGTGGCTGCTGCGTGAGTTCACAAATTAGCCAATTTTTATGGGCGGACGTTGGCTAGCCTAACCTGCAGCTGTACCTGGCGACATTAGCGCCTCCTAGTGTAGCACCTTCGAGCTTTGTCCCGTTTTGATGGTGAGTTGCCAAGCGTCGTTCCTAACCTCCAGAACCGACTTCCTTGACTCTTCTTATTCTGTCACGACAGTGTGGGCCACGAGCCTATATTTTCCTCGTGTACTTTCCTAAGCTCCAGGTCGGCTTCTATGGTTCTCCCAATCCACCACATCGATGTGTACTTCTCGCTCGATTACACATTGTGTATCTTTCTAAACTCCTCTGTAATTCGAAAGTCCGCTTAACCCTTTTCCGGGCAACCGATTTTGATGACTCAATCGTGCAGGTGGAGGCCAGCGGACCCGGGAGTGTCTGCGACGGAATTATGCTTACAGATGTACATTGTGAACGTGGTTAACTAAACAGAACGCTCTAATATAGTTGTTTAATTTAACAAAACCTTTTAAAATATTTTACATTTGTTTTTAAATATTTGTTTGTTTTCTTACAGATTGCACACACTGTTTACTGGGTATGTTAATTTCCGACAGGTTTTGAACAGATGCTACTTTTCCTTGACCCCTACTTCTTTACCAAAGGCACGAGTAATATTTTTGCCAATATTATATTTTTTCTGAGTTGTAAAATATGCTTCTTCCCCGATAGCGTGTGACAATTGTTATTCAATCGTGTTTGACTGTCTCCTTACATTTTGTGTAAGAATCAAATCTTTTGAAATATCAACAATGTGTGATCTCATGTTTTCTAACATTCAGTCAGGGTCAACGTACCTGTCGCCGTGCAGTTTTCCCGCAAAACCTGGGCCGCGCAAGACTTCAAAAACCCGCTCTCCGAGTCTTGGCTACATACCAACCCGCAACAACACTATTTACGAAGGCGGCGTTCTTAGAATCGCGAACAAGTAGTGTCAGATGACATCACGATGAAAAGACGTTGTGCAGCGCGACATCAGCCCGTTCTTTGGACACGAAGAAGTTGTCAATAAATCGACCAAACAAAACCGGAAAATGCAATATTACACGCAGATTACGCGACATCGGTGCAATGAACCTGGCGTGCCCGGTTGCAGCTGAAATAAGATAAATGTTTGTTTATTATTCAGTAACGCTTCTGTAAAACAGTTGCAGTTATATTTAAACAAATACCGTGGCAAACAAAGTCACTAAAACCTAACCTACCACCGATAGTTTTCACGTAAAATACTAAAAATATTGCTTCTGGATTCAATCTAATCTCCGGTTGCCGGTATAATGGTTAATCTGAAATCAATAACGATGATTTTGTTTTGGGAAAGAAAGAAATAAGCTCATTAAAAACTACTGCTGTACTGTTTGTTGTGTATATTTCTAAAAATTACAAAAAAGTAAAGGTTTAATACAAAAAGCTTTTAAGTAAACTGTGTTAGATTGATTTGAAATAGCCAGTTACATTTCTTTGATGAAGATCAGGATACATGTACCTGGAAGACAAATTGTGCCAAATTCTCAAAAACATGATGTTCGCTGGAGTCGCAAAGGCCCACTGCAGAGGTAAACAATAAGCGACTGAGAGAGTGGCGGGGATGGAGAGAGAGGGGGGAGGGAGAGAGAGAGGGGGAGGGAGAGAGAGTCATTTTCACAGCGACTGATTTGCCTAGTCTATCTCGAGTCATTGTTGCGTTTAATTAGCAATTCAATCACTGGCGCTATTTTTTGTAGGGTAACGTCATGGCAATCCCCGATGGACCCCACATGTCGTGAGGCCAGTGAGGGGGAGGGGGGTCCTTTGGTGACAAGGGGAAGGCGACAAGAGCCGGGACCTTCCCGGGGTGGGCGTGTGTTGGAACGCGGGTGTCAACTGGCGCAGACGGTGGTGATGAGTGAGAACAGCCACTGGGCAGCTGGGCTCCAATTTGCAACCAGACCAGGGTTCGGTAATGAGATGACGCCGCCGGCATGGGAGGTCTGTCACGTGATCCCTCGCGAGACGGCTGGGGAGTAACCAGCCGGGGTCATTCGAGTTTGAACCCAATCGCGGTGCGGAAGGCTCTTTTCACCCGCCAGGGGTTATCGCTAGCTTTGGCTGCGAGGTGTGGTGGTTATCACAGGACGAGAGACCAGAAGCGGCGCTAAGTTAGCTGCTAGTGTCTGCTGCTAGCGTCAGGCTGAGGCTGGGGTATGCCTCAGGAATGAACAGTGCTGGGAGTGGAGCGCTAGTTTCCCCGGAGTGTACATTTTGTATAGGAAAATTTGTAAATAAATATGTACAGAACAACTCCGTGTCTGTGTTTTACTCACACCCGTCGACGTCACAGTAGACTCAGGCCATCATGACTGATCTTCCGTCTGACCACACAAATTTCGCTAGGGTCATTTCGTCATGTATCAGCAAAATAAGGTACTTCTCGGGCAGTAGCGTAACGTAATGAACGCGGGCCCGCCCGCTTATCTTTTCTACGAGCTCCATTTCTAAAAGTTTGTAGCGAGCACAAGTAGTATTAGTACCTCAAATAATAAAAAAAATATTTCATAAAAATAGGCCCTCTTTTACCTGGACCCAATGTTACGCCACTGCACTCGGGCGACTAACGGGCGACTAGAATTTAACTCAAATTCCCTCCATTAGAGACTATGTAGCATTGTTCAATTCTTTTCTTATTTCCCTCGTAACCAGGTTCCTCTCGATCCAGGTACGTTATGCAGAATATGTTAACTTCCATATCGAAGACAATAAAATCAATAACCCATCAGTAAAAATTAACTCTTCGTATTTTTTTAAAAAATTAAGAGATTTCACTTTTGAAATTACCGTCGTTTAAGGGCCTGCTGAACACGTCACAAGTTGGGAATGAGGAACTTGGAAAGTATCATAGGGGCCCCACCCGGAGGCCATCTCGGCCTGAGCCTGCGTGGAAAGCGAAACAACTCCGGCAGTCAGCGATTGAATCCGACTCTAACTACACAGCTAGAGTCAAACATTCTGCATCCGTTTGGACTCGAACCCTAGAGCTGCCCAGTCAGAATCGCTGCACTGACATCAACTGAATAGTTTATTTCAGAAACTCGTCAAACGCTAAAATCTAAATCACGCATTAGCGGCGAATTATTGTTGCATGAGGATAGACGCATCGTTTATAGTATATCATTATAAAAAAATATTAATTTATCAACTGCTTTAATAAATAAATATAAAATTGAAATCGGAAAAATTGGGACACTTTTTCTCAGTTTTCTGGAAATGAGGACTTTGGCGCTTGTCAGGTTTCTGAAATAACCGATTCAATCGATTCCCTGCGCCTCCTCAGACGATCCCCCCCACTGGACGCGGGGCTGCTGGCAGACGTCAGGTCCGCTGTACCAGCGCTGTACGTCAGCGTAGGCGCCTGGAGGCCCGGGGTCGTGCAAGCGCGAGCACAGGCGACACAGCGAGCTGGCGGGGAAGGGCACCACGCGGTAGTGGCGCTTCCACCAGGAGAACTTGGCCAGCTCCTGCGGGCGACGCGCCAGGAAATGCAAGTAGCGCGCCAGGCGGCGCGGCGACGCGAAGTCGCGGGCGTCAATGTAGGAATGAGGCGGTGCAATGGCGCTGTAGTTGGCGCCTCCGTACACCACAGGAACTACGTCCAGAGGCAGCACTTTGAAGAACTTCTCCGTCACGTAGTCCCTGCACGAGGACACAAATACATTACACCTGCAGTTTACGTTGAACAACTTCTGCGTCACGTGGTCCCTGCACACGGAAAGAAAAAAACATTAGACCTGCACTTTACATTGAAGAATTCTCAGTCATGGCGTTCCTGCGAAAGGACTCAAACTACATTACACCTGCAGTTGAACAACTTCTCCGTCTTGTATTCCGTACACAAGAACAATATCCACATTAGACCTGCCCTTTACGTTGAAGAAGTTCTCTGACTCTTTGTTTAGCCTGCACTAGGACACAAAATTAATGGTGGCTGCTCCTTTAGGGCTCATTAGTAGCGCTCCAGTCAAGAGAAACCAACCTCTGGAAAAATTCGGAAAGCATTAAATTTACAATAAATCGACTTGTTTAATTTGTGCATACAGCCAGCAGACTTTTTGAGGACTAATTTAGTTTCAAGAGCCAGATTATGCGGAAGATAAATGTTTTTGGAATGGGTAGCAACGTGGACTATTGCGAGTCTGACCCTAGCTGGTGCATGCGTGGCAATGGAAGATTGAGGAAGAATGGGGGAATTGGTAGTTGTGCGTTACCTACAGCGGGAGTTCCCGAAGGAAAAGAAAATATGTTGTTGAGGGAGAGCGGACCAACATCGTACAAAGAAATTAGCGTCTGTGCGTCATTCATGATTTCGCTATCTGCAAAGGGAGTTCTTGATTGATAGGTTGAATGTGTCAGTAATTAAAAGACAGTACACACGCTCAGAATTCTAGATAGATCAGGGATTGTGTGCCGTTCGTGATTTTGTTAACAGCAGAGGGAGTTGTTGATTGGTAAGTAAAACAATATATTTGAGAGGGAGCACACACGCTCCGTATTCTATATGAATCAGGCATTGTATGCTGTTCGTAATTTTGTTAACAGCAGAGGGAGTTATTGATTGATAAGATGAACAAGAATGTAGTTAAGAGACAGCACACATGCTCCGTATTCTATGTAGATCAAGCATTGTGTGGCGTTCGTGATTTTATTTACAGCAGAGGGAGTTGTTGATTAATATGTGGAACAATACAGTAATTCAGTGAGAGAACTCCGTGTTCTACATAGACCAGGCACAAACACAAAGTAGTTCACAAACACTCCGTGTTCTACATAGACCAGGCATTGTGTGCCGTCCACGAGGCAGCACACACGCTCCGTATTCTATATAGACCAGGCATTGTGAGCCGTCCACGAGGCAGCACACACGCTCCGTGTTCTATAAAGCCTAGCGCTCGCGCGCCGTGCGCGTCGTAGTTACCTGCAGAGGGAGTTCTCGAAGGAGAGGTAGAACGTGTAGTTGGCGGAGAGCGTGCGGTAGAAGCCCTCGACATCGTCCTTGGGCCAAGGGCGCGCGGCGCACTTGCCGTACACGTCCACGCGGATGTGCTTCGATAGTTCGCGAACGTAATGCTCGCGCCGGCTCTGCGTGTGGCAGTTGGACACCAACCACGCCACCAGCACCTTGTCCCCTTCGTGCCTGCCACCAACACACAACGATACTCAGGCAATCAGATCTTTTATGTGGTACTTAACAATAAATTATATTTTATGTAATTCTGCACTATGTGATCAAGGGTATCCCGACACATCCAAAATGGTGTTATGTTGTGGTCGTGTTTTTCTTGGGGGGGGGGGGCTTGCACCCCGTTTGTTTTGCGTGGCACTAGGCACTATCACGGCACAGGCATACGTTGATGTTTTAAACACCTTCTTGCTTCCCACTGTTGAAGAGCAATGATGGAATGGCGATTGCTTCTTTCAATACGATCGAGCACCTGTTCGTACAGCACGGCCTGTGGCGGAGTGGATACATGTCAAAGACATCCTTGTACCGAACTAACCTGCACAGGGTCCTGCCTTGAACCCTATCGAACACCTTTCGGATGTTTTGGAACGCCGACTTCGTGCCAGGCCTCACCGAGCTACATCGATACCTCTCCTCGGTGCAGCACTCCGTGAAGAATGGGCTGCCATTCCTCAAGAAACCTTCCAGCACCGGATTTAAAGTATGCCTGCAAGAGTGGAAGCTGTCATCAAGGCTAAGGGTGGGCAAACACCCTTTTGAATTTTAGTATTACCGATGGAGGGAGCCACGAACTGGTAAGTTATTTCCAGCCACATGTCTGGATACGTTTGATCACTTAGTGTATATGAAACCTTTTTTTTATATTAAAGATGATATATATTTTAAAAGCTTTCAGAATTCCTTGAAGCGTATAGAAACGAACTTGGGTTTTCCTTACATTCAAGTGAACTTACATGACGAGTTTCAGACCACCGGGCCTGCTCTTGCGTCTGACCTCGCAAATTTCGCTAAGCTTTCTACACCATCTGGCGGAGAAAGTAGGTATCCGTGGCTTAGCGCCACGGATGATGCGAGTGGTTCGTCGCATCTTTTCGTTATTCGGTTGTTTTATCATTTCTAATCTTTACAGTAAATGTTTTTCATTTTCTCTAAACAAAAATATATTGTTATTTCTGTCGGCGTTCCAGACCACCGTACCGTTTTACAGAACCTGGTTTTCTAACACTGAGGTTTAAGAGAGTCACTTTCATTCCCTATGTTCTGTTCTGCTGCAAGGCCAATGACCTTCGAGAAGATTGCCTACTGCGGATATAGGTTCACAAATCACTTGACTGATGCGATTTCAAAAAACACATCTGGTATACAAGCTTCGCCTGCAACAATTTCATTCATTGTCCTCCAGACGTGGTAGTACAAGGACTTCACGGAAGCGGTGCAAATTTTCTTCACCAGGGGGAGTTGCTTATAGAGCAGTAATGCATTTTAACCCTTAACTACAGACATGAAATTCGGGAACTCGAAGACATGGAGTCAAACTCACTCCTCTCGTAAAATTTTAATTTTATGATCTTACGATTCGAAATTTTCTTTGTAATTTCGTAATATAGATTACTTGTATTCGTCTGCTAATAGCATTTCATAAAAAAATGATTATTCGCAAAATGGCGGAATGCTCAAACATAAATTCAAGTTTTTTTCTCCTCACTCACTATTTATATTTAATTATTGTATAACGTATTAACACAATGTATTCATATTAAATAACAGAAGAGCACTCTGGACACTTGTTTTTTACAACAGAGGCGTAACAGTAACAGTATTTGCGCAATGTTAAAATTTCTTCCTCCTTGCTGTCAATACATTCTATTTCTTCTTCGCATAAACATCTTATAAATGCCTTTTTGCACTTCTAGAAGCAGCTGCATATTTAGTAATCGTCTTTCCACTTATTCCATTACAAGACTTTTGGACAAACTTAAAAAAGTCGAATTTCTTTCCGTTTTGATACGAATTAAAAAATAACTGAAGACCTATCACAACTCTTTAAAAAATCAGAAGTGTGTATCAAATTACCCCACCCGATGGGACTAATACGATACAAAAATGGGGCTCAAGTGATACAGCTTAATATCTCTATGTATTTTTATTGGGAAACAATTAGCGAGAAACAGTGACACACCTAAGGGTTACGTGCCTCAACAGTAGTTTTTTTTTAAAAAAATTATTTACCTGTGTCCAAATACTGTATAGTTTTCAGTTCCTACTATATGGTCATTTAGTCATATGGTCTATAGGCGATTTAAATTTAGCTCAGAGGTTTCTTTTAGATTTGAGAATCTCTGACAAGCAATAAATCTACAACATGCGTCTGTCGTCTTTACTGGCCCACCAAAGGCACGTGTAGGATGGATTTTTTCGACCTTAAAAATTCACGGTTTGAACCTGCACACTTTGGTATAACAGCCCTACACGCGAACTGTTTAACCACTAACCCTTCGCTGGGGGATACGATACAGGTATGTCAATGTGTGTGTGTGTGTGTGTGTGTGTGAGAGAGAGAGAGAGAGAGAGAGAGAGAGAGAGAGAACTACAAATATTTAAATGGAGAAGAAGTAGGTATAAATAGAAAGACTGTCTCTAGTAAGAACAGGCAAGTTTCTGAAGACTTACTTATACTAATGATGACTTTCTTATTTTTTTAAAGAATTACTTTCTTTTAAAAGCTCATGAATAATTAAACGGCTAAATAAAATGTATGCATTTGTATTAACATTGATGTCACTGGACTGTTAGGAACAATTCATTAAGACATTTAAAATTTACCACGTATGAGTTGGAGTTTCAATTGTATGAAAGTTGGTTGTACGTTTCATTGTATGCAACTTACTTGTAATGCTAATTGTTAAATGTATGTAGTGACAGGTATGATAAATGAATGTACTGTGCATTAATATTGTGTAAAACAGAGGTATAAAGAGTTAATATATTTTAAAGAGCACATTTTTGAAATTTTTACTACATAAATGCACACATACTTCGCATATTATTAGATCATATAAATCTGGTCCCTAATAATAATTAGTTCCTAATTCTGGCATCATTCTTATTTGATAATGGAAGTGCTCAGTACGGGCTATCCCACGTAACCTAGTTCTGTGGGGTTTACCAGAACGTTCATAAAATAACCCAGAAACCGTGGATCAAATTTTTTTTATGTAATCCTTTTTTATACATATCAAGGCAACGTTCTACAAATAATGAGAAAAAAGTTATGAATATCTTATTAAATTTTTGTATTTACAACAATTGTTCTATTTTCACCAACATTGGTTCTGCATTTAAATAATCTCTCTCTCTCTCTCTCCCTCTCTCTCTCTCGCACGAAAAATACTCAATTAGTTCAAATAGCGTCTAGAGTTTTATAATTATCCTTGTCATAGATAACACTAAACACCGCATCGTTTTCATCATTCGAAAATGATTTGAATGGACACCATTTTTTGTGCAAGAGAGCCCTTTGGCTGGCGCAAACTTTCGTCCTTTAGAAATATTTCATTTTCCCACTATTCCTCCTTTCTAACATTTTCTACGCGAGTTACCACGAGTAACCGTTGAGACAGAAGATTGGATTCCCTTTGAGGATTTATTTATTCATTCAGTTTCAAAAACAGTTAGAATCTGTGTGGGAAAGCCCCCTGTTCGACTGAGATTTCTGCGAAGCTGATACACAGAATATTTTAAGTACAATACTCTTGCATATAGTAAGTATATACTGAATTTAAATAAAATATTACCCTAAAAAATAATATTTGAAGTTACATTTAATGCTGATATTTCAATTTCACAAAAGAATGTGGGAGAGCTCCTTCTTCTACGGGGCTTTTTAATTTCGATATTGGCAAGGCCAGCGTGATGGAGCCAAGTGCAGGTCCTACCTTGAGGGGTCGACGGACTCGAGGGCCGCGGCGGCGGAGGGGGCGATGGGGGCGGCGGGCGCCGGCAGCCAGCCCCGGGCGGGGGCGGGCGTGTCGCCCAGTGGAACGAACTCGGCGTACGGCCACGCGATGTCCGAGTCCTGGCGATACGTCATGGTCCAGTTGAAGAGGCCGCCCGTGTACCGGAAGGAGATGCCGGCCATCGGCGGAGCCTCCAGGATGAAGAAGATGTACCTGTGCCAACACGCCCCCTCTCTCATTCAAACAGTCGACTGGAGTCCAAAATAAACTAGTGGTACTACAGAACAACTCAGACATTCTCACGCTAGATCGTTAATAATCTCTTCAGATTTAAAGCGAATTAGCTGGCACAGGGAATCCCCTGATGTCACCGCAAGACCTCGTACCGAGAGGTCGACGAGTCGAAACGGTGGCACGATTTTCACACTAGCTAAATAGCTGAGTCGAATTCAGCCACTGACTAGTGGTTTCTCCGATCAACACCAGACGAATACCGGAGTAGTTCCCTAACAAACGGGACACAAACCGCACGGGATCTTGCTTTCCTCTTGCTTCTTCGATCCTTACATATTTACACACTTACACACATATTTACACACAGTTGCACTACTTTTTAATACATGTCGGGAGACCATTCTGAAGTTTAGAGCTTGTACTAACAGGGGGATGCCCCGCAGGAGGGCGATACCTAGATGGGGCAAGCCGACGTACAGACGGCAACAAATCTCAATATCCAGCAGAGGAAGAAGACCACCCCTTTCCGTAATTAAATAACTCTGGAATCACGAAATTACCAATCAATCGACCCTCTCTACATGTCCTAAAATGTGTACTATTTTTTCTGAAGTATCATATATAAATATGTGGGCTACTGAGCTTGTCGGGGAATTCAGTCGACGAAGTCAATGCACTTAGAGGGGGAAGGTATCTGAAAGAATAAAGCAAGTAAGGAAGAAGCATTATCCTCTTGGGCAGGCCGAACGTGTTCAGCAACTTTTAGCAGCTGCGGTCAGTCAGCACGCCTCGCTTCGAGTGAGAAAATACAAATGACCGTGAGAGTGAGTGAGAAATGAGGACTGACTTCTCGAGCGGGTTGGACGTAGCAATAAACTGCCCCGAATTCTGGACATTCAAGGAGATGCCTAAAGTACCTGTGTAATGTGTGTGTAAGTGCGACTGAGGCCTGAGGTAATAGAACTGACCTCTGCCAGCTGCTCGAGGTACGAAAATTCTCCGATTGAAGAAAACAAGCGTAGAGTTTAAGAAAGAACTTTTGAAATTCTGTGTGTAAGAAAAGATGACTGACGTCTGGGGCACGCTAATCATGGAAACAAAATTCTCCAATTGAGGAAATTTATTGCCATGACTGAGGAAAGACCTGTGAATATCTGCGAAGGTGGAATGAGGATTGACTTCTGCTGCGGGATGTGCGTTGCACGAAACTTTTCCAAATTGGAGGCAATCAGAGCGATGTGTCAATCAAATCAAGGTCAATCGAATATCTGAGTTTCAGAAAGTATCTGTGTCTGTGAGTGAGGGGCGAGCTACGAGTTGCAAATAAATGCCCAACGGAAATAAATCAACGTTAAGTCTGAGGAATACCTATGAATGCGCAAATGAATGAGGACTGACGACTGACCTGTAGTGCGAGCTACGAGGCAAAAAATACTCAAGTTGACGACAATCAACTCTGAATCTGAGAAATGTCTGTAAATGTGCGTGCGCGTGAGGACAGAACTGACCTCTAGTGAGGACTGCGCGAGACAACAAAAACAATCAACTCAAATTCGGAGGAATTTCTATTAATGTGCCTGCGAGTGAGGACTGAGGAATGGCGTGTGGTGAGGGTTACGCGAAGCAAGAGATTTAACCAAATGAGGACATTCAACGTTACGTCTGATGAATGCTTATGAATGCGCCAATTAATGATGACGACAACTGACCTGTAGTGCCCGTTACGAGGCAAAAACTTTTCCAGTTGAGGACAATCAGCTCCAAATCTGCAGGATCTCTGTGAAAGCGCTAGCGAGTGAGGACTGAGAACTGACCTCTGGTGAGGGCTGCGCCTGGCGGGGAGAGTTCCCTTGGTAGGCAGAGGAAGAGGGCTCAGCCAAAAGTAGTACATGTGGAAGAGGACGGCATCGTAGTCTTCCGCAGGCATCAGCATATCCATGTGGTTGTCCGTGAAGATGCAGTCCGTGCGTGGGCAACCCACTTCCTCGAAAATGTTACCGTCGAAATGGCCGAGCTCCAGGTTCTCGAAGTCGAAGTAGCTGTTCCACTGCAGGATGTACTTGTAGCCGCGCTGCCGCACGAACTGACGATGTGAGGTAAAACGCCCTAAAATCATTTACACCAAATTTATTGATTGATTGGGTTTCCTAGTGCGTCAACTGGTAGAGTCATTAGTCACATTAGTGTAGTGCATGTTTTCCCTCGAGAGGAGGCGGTAATACTACTAGGTGGTGACATCCGGTGCTGACCTACGTCGGGTTGCGTGGATTTTCCCAACCTGGCATCTCCCACCAGCGGGACTCCGCCCCAGCCGGCGTAAGCTTTAATCTTTCGACTGGTCACCCGACATATGTGGTTGTGTAGTGCATGTGAGTGTGAGTAAGGGGTGAGGATAGGATAAGGAAGAGAAAAGTAAGATCGTGCGCGCTCCCTGGCTCATTTATGAAGTTACTGCTTCGGCATTCGCCTGATGTTAATCGGAGTAAACCGAAAACTACTGATCAGAGCAGCTGTCCGCCGCTATAATTCTCCTCCAGACTGCTACTGGATTCGACCTACCCTAGCTAGCAACATTAGTTAGCCCTCAGCTACCTAAGCTGCTTAGGTGGCTATAAAGCCGCTTAGGTGGCACAATAGGCTTTACACTGGAGGGTTTTGTTTTATTGACTATGTATCAAAGTCAGTAAGGACGAAACTCAACTATGATGGTGCAGTGGAGGTATAAATGAACAACGTCGGAAGCTAATCGGCATTTAGCTTCATAGACATCACTCGGTGAAGTAAGAAACTTATGTTTTCTTTGCCAATAGCGATGCATACTCACGAACTTGACTAACGCCTTCTACACTTTAATGTGTGGCAGTAATTAGATGGCATTTACTTAGCAATGAGTTTGGTGGTCTTTGGCAGAAAATGCCTTAAAAACATTTTAAAGCTCTCATTAACCGCGTGATATCGCTAAATTTGAAGTGTACAAATTAGCTGGCGAGTTTTTCGTACATACCCCACCGTGCCTCCAAAACTGGAGTTAAGTCTCCTTACATACTTAATCAACGATTACGTTATTTGTCGCACACCAATGCTATTTCCGTAACCGAAATAACAATAGTAAACGGTAAATCTAGAATAGGATGCCATGGAATTAAAGGAATATTTTATATATTTAAAAATAAATTCTGATACTGTTTAGAAACATATGAAATTCATTTTCAGAAAGTTTGTGTTAAAATATTTTCAATATTTTCAGGTATGGTAAAGTCATGGTTATGGGCTATGATCTTATCGCTAATCAGTTGATAAAAGAACCTCGCAAAGCATTCATCACAGCGCTTTTCAACTCTGTTATTCGCATTGGAAAATACTCAATTACGTGAAAAGAAATTATAGTATTGTATTTTTAAAACTTGGCAAATCTCCTCATGAAACTTCGTGTTGTCGTCTTATTAGCCTTCTTCCAGCGACGTATACGATATTTGAGAAATTACTACTATTAAGACTACGAATTTACTTATCATGCAACAAAATCGTACGGGGACAACAATTTGGATATCGGAAACAACACTCTGCTATAGAGAAGATAAATAGAACGAAATCTCATATTGAACTCAACTTTCAAAATAAACAGTATTCTTCTGCTGACTTTCTGAATATATCCGAGGCCTTCGATATGATACGTCCCCAGGAAATCCTGTATAATCGTAAGTGCTACCTACCCTAATCATATTTGCTGACTAGTTGTTTCCCCAATATTTATACGTGTTGTATTCTCTCTCATACTTATCATTACTTTTAGTGGAAAGTAATGTTTTAATGACTTATTCAAATGTTTTATTCGATACACATTCCATTTGCAAATATGTCGTGGAAACAAAAACAATATAAGTCCCGCTAAAATAGATATTTTTTAAAAAAACAATACTTCGTCATGAAATGTATGACTTGGATGGTAAATATGCTCATGAATTTCGTAAAATTTAAATTATTCTTAAATTAATCGAAAAAAATATTGAACGTAACATTTGTATAAACGGGTATAATTGCACTCGTGGTACATAAGAAAACGCGCTCCCATCATCGCTCTTCTGAAACATATCACTCGTTTTTGTATTCCAGTATATAAACAACATTTTTCATTACAAGAAATGGTTCATAATAGGGCATCTTCGACACCAATTATGACGTCTTTGCCCTTTACGGCACTAATATTTGCAACATTACACAATCAGCCAATCGCAGTGAGAGAATCGTGGTGAGGTAGTGGTAACGGAACAGTCGGTCACAGTTTTCTCGTAAAAAGTCAAATACCCGTGACGTCACAGTAAAGTTGTTTACCAACGTTAACCTTGATTATCTAGTAAATTTATAATACTGTTACGCGAAGAAATAATGTAAGCAACTGTTTATAATGTTGTTTCATTGCATTCGAACACATTTGAAAACTCGCCCCTAACGTCGCTCGTTTTCAGAACATGTACTCATGCTATAAATCTTACAAACTAATTGCATTAATTATTATTAGTCATTTATGTAAATATTTATTTACCTACCTAGACGATGTTCGCGCACGAAGTAGCAGCCGAATACGGCGACAGCTGACACAAGAACAATGAGTCTGGTCAGGCGGCTCCATCTTGGTTTCAGTGACCCCATCTGCGGCTTTAGCCAGAACCTCCTCGCCTCCCCAGCGACAACGCTTCTAAGTGATGCGATGGGGCCCTCGAGAGTCAGAGCACAGGGTGGGTGCAGCTGGAAACAGACACAAATCTTCTTGTTAGGGGATTACAAGTGGCAACCGGTGGGTTGCAAATTAAGAGGGTGGCATATATCGATGGCTATCAAGTGTCAGCGTGCGAACAAATTGACGAGACATTATCGAGATAGGGTTTCGAAGCCAAAGGCCTACTCGTGTACCCTTCAGGACTGCACAACACACAGCGTTACGCCACGCCTAGGCCCGTAAATACTGACATTGGACTGATGATCACTGGAAACACGTTGCCTGGTCTTAAGGGTCTCGTTTCATATTGTTTCGGGCGGATTGACGTGTACGAGAATAGCGACAACCTCATGAATCCATAAACCACGTACCAGTGTGTTTTAAGTCCAATTTTTGACTCAATGATACTTCTGTATCTTTGTGTTCTATGCCCCTGTCTACACGTGTGCATCAATCGAAATTGTAAATATTCCACTCCATAAGCTTGTAACTCACCTATTCTATACTAACGCATCCATAACTTACCCACTCTATATAAAATAAATGGATCCTCAGAAAAATTTATGAATTGAGAACAATCTGATTCTCAGTCATCGATATGTCCGAACTACACTGAAGAGATAAAAAACTGGTACTGCCATGCGTATTGAAATAAAGAAATCTAGAGCCAATCAAAATACATCACTGCTGTCGGCAACGACTATATAAGTCAACCAGAACCAGGACAGTTGTTAGATCGGTTACTACTTCTACAATGACAGTTTGTCTCGATTTAAGTGTCTAAACGTGGTGTTATAGTCGCGATCAAATTTTTGTGACTTTCAGTTCTTTCCATTGAACTGTGACGATATTCCGCGTTTAGCAGCCTATCGCTCATCGCAGTGTGGGGCTAGCCCAATTACCTGACTGATTATTTCATGTTGAGCGCAGTCATTATTTGCAGTCCAGTGCAGTGTATATTTTTGTCGTAGGAGGTGCCGATGTTCTTTCAGCGCTGGATGGTAAGAACCGGCACAGACCTACACGTCGATTTGCGGGGATTTTCACAACCAGGTATCTCCCACCAACGGGACAGCGCCTCAGGCAGGACAAGCTCTAAGCTCCCGACCGGACTCCTGGCAAGTGTGGTAGTGGAAGTCAGTGGGTGTAGGCAAGGGATGAGGACAGGACAAGGAAGAGAAATGAATGTCGGTGGCCCGATAGTCAGGGATCTGCTCCGGCATTCACCTGGTGTTGATCGGAGATACCATGAGCCTATGAAGCCTATGATACCATGAAGCATACCACTACCGATCAGAGCAGCTGGGCGTTATAATTTTCCTCCAGCCGACGGTTGCATTCGACCTACTTAAGCAGCTAGGGTTCTAAATATGCCACCGGCGGGACTCGAACACACGGTCAGAGACACTGGAGTGACATCAGTGGAAATCTTGAGCCACCTCACCTGGTGGTTCCAACCGGTGGTGCACAATGCGCTAACCTCTAATACAATTCTACACTGCCAACTTCCATCTAAAATGAATGATATCTACATAAAAAGCCTCGCCACGGATGCAGAATTTTCAGTAGTTCATCGAACGTGTTAAATTCGATTCCAGGGTAGTGAAGTTTTAATAGTATTCTTATAAATACCATAATTAAACAAACATAGATTCTGATGGTGATGATCATTTCAATATTTTAGCTAAGACTCTTGAGTTATTCATGAGCATTTTTGAAAAAAATATGTATAGTTTACTTTATTTTTATGAAAAGAAGACCTTGTTTTGTAAATGGAGATCGGTTATCAATATTATTACACAGCCTCTTCACAACCCCGAAAGAAATGTGTGCAGGCTTTATACAACCGTTTGAAATCAGTTTTATCAGTTACTGACATTATCTGACATCTCTGGCACAATGTGACATTATCAATGATTCACAATAATATAGAATATACTCTCCGTCCGGGTGCTCTCTCAGGACTGGTCAGATCAGATGCGATGTCTCCAAGACAACATTGACGTTGCCTCTAGTCCAAGTTTGTCTAACTGGCGGCCCGCGGTGCCATTTAGTCTGGACCGCGAAAGGTTATTAGTCAAATGTTGAAGTCCCTTGCACCCATATCGGACGACGAGAAAATTGTACGGCTAGTGCATACGCCCTGTCGGTGTTAACACCGCCTTAATGTAAAAACAGGTTAAGTTTAGATTTAAGAATTGTTTCTAGGACATTCAAAAGCATCCCATTGTGTTTCACTGCTTTATGCATGGTACGGCCTGATATCACGTATAGTTCCGTCCCCCGTGTCAGCCGGAGAAACTGCTGAGATCAACAATGCGGGATAACGTTGTCACATGTGCAACGCCCAAGTAATGTAAAGGATTTAGTTGTGGCTCTTG